TCGAGGATTCAAGCCTCACACTTACAGGCAGGCACTCTATTCACTGCGCAATCTCCCCAGCCCAATAGGCTATTTTAAAAGATTACTTTCTATATAAGTATTCAATATTAAGAAAGATAACACTGATTAGTCACAAAATCTATCACTACTTAAAAGTATAATTAGCTCATTGCTGTTTCTAAGCCTCAAAGCATATCTGTCCATATTGTAATTACCCAAACATTTGCTTTTTGAAGTTAAATATCCCCCAAGAATGCCTTGGATTTAGCACTTTGTAACCAAGACCACCGTGTTTATTAGAAAACCACCAAAGGCTTTCATTTTGTTTTGTAGTTTGTTAAAAAAAAAAAAAGACTTAAAGCTGGCTTTTTAGTACCTACTTAATGGTACAAGCAACCCTGTAATATTGTCTGCCATGAGATGTGGCCTGCTGAAACACAAATATCTCAAGGAAAGTTGTCATAATACACTGGTATCAATCAGTGTTTCTCTACGTTAAGAAAAAAGGGATTTGTTAGACTTTTTAAACTAATTTAAAATTTTGTGTGTATATGTGCATGTGCAGGTACAGTGACCTGTCTGTGCACACGGAGTCCAAAGGCAGACTTTAAGTCGGGTACAGTGACCTGTGTGTGCACACGGAGTCCAAAGGCTGACTTTTAAGTGTCTGCTCAATCACTTTCCATCTTATCTTTAGAGGCATGGTCTCTCATTGAACCTAGAGCTGGCTGTTGTAGCACCTTCCTTTTTCTGCCAACCCAAAAGCACCAGGGCCACAAGTGCACACTGCCATGCACAGCTTTTTATGTGGGCACTGAGAAACCAAACTCAGGTCCCATGCTTGTGCAGCAAGCATTTCACCCACTGAGCCATCTCCCCAGGCCTAAAAAGACAAGTTTTGATAAGAATGAGGAGTGACAGAGGTGACAGTAGGATTGGAGGTAGAAGGTTCACACAGACACAATACCCCCAAGAGCACATTACCCTTGATTTGCAAACCCAATAAGAAATGCACTGTACTGCAAAGGCCACAGAATCAGCAGGAATCGAGGTTATCGTGCTAAGCACAGTAGGAAGACACCCAGCAGAAGAGTTCAGTTCCTGGTCCTTAACTAAAGTAAACAATAAATATTATAGTCACATATATCATCAACAATGTAATATTCCCAGATGGTCTGTAACATGCAAAAATGTAGACTCCAACCCTGATGACATCAGTTAACTGCAAGTGCTCTTTCTACATTCTTCTCTTTCAACAAAACACAGCAAGACTTCATGTCTCAGAGAAGAGTGCCTTTAACTGCCGCAGAAAAAGGCTTAAAACATACAACATATGACACTATATATTAATATGATAAATATTTATAATCTTGTTTCTATTTTGAGAAACTATAAATATCAGTGTTTGCCTTGATTGTATAATAACCAGCAGCAACATCAACCTGGTAATTGACAAAGCAACAGCATTCACTTTCAAAATCACTTTTAAATGGGCACTTGCAATAAAAGATAAATCAGATGTGGCAACGGCTTCTTTGCTGAAACCCATGTGTAAACAGCACATGAAGATGACAAGGCAAGCAGCAGTAGCCCATTCTTCAGCCAAAAAAGGAAACAAACGAAAAAAGAACAAAAATTACAGAAAAGAAAAACATCCCTGGTCCCCACCCACAAAAGCTGGTAAACAATAGCTTCCAGCACATTAAAACTCAGGCCACTAGCAGCTTTCACGGCATCAGAATCACGGACCCTGCAGATGGGGATAAACTAACAACAGAGTTGCAAGTGCCTGGAAGGAGATAAAGTCCTTCAGTCATTTCCATACAGTGCACTTGTCCTCATCACCATTTCTCTCTTGGTCATATCTTCCCCATGTGATTTGTATGCTGTAAGTAACTCTAGTGCTCACTGGAGTCCCAGTAAGACCCAGTCATGTTCAAGAGTAACTGCTGTCTCTGTTATATAAAGCTTCTATGTGGGTAAAAGAGCTGATTTGCTTCATCGGTGAGTTTCCCATACTGCTATTTTAGTAGACTTGATAAAGTTGTTTTCAGTTTGAGGACACACAACATGGCCTTTATTTTCCAATGAAGGCAGTGAGGCTTGCCAGTAACAATAATCCTTTAGTTTTGGCTTCAAACAGTTTTGACCTCGAACATGCTAGGCATGGCTCTGAGCTAGCCTCTGCCTCCCCAAGTGTAGTTTTTATGATTTTCTAAATGGTACTGTTATTAGATTATCCCCAAATAGGTGGCTTTTTTTTTATTTTTTACAGCAAACAGCTCCAAAACCCATGCCTGATGCAAAATTTTAACTATTAGCTAATAGAAAATTTTGCCTTTGCACTGCACTCACCCTCAAGGACTCCACAGATCACATGAGAGTCTCACACCTGAGCAGATCTGCAGAAGTCGGGGTGCTTAAGCAAATGTTAAAGGTTATGCAGAACGTGGCTGAGAAAACAGAAGCCTTGGGTGGTCAGTTTTATTTCATTATACCGTGAAGGGTCAGGGTAGACCGATGGAGGAGGAGAGGAAAGAGCCAGAAACCAGCACAGAAATTCCAGTCATTTACGACGGAACAACATTAAATTTGTTAGCAAAACTTCCACAGAAACCTCATTTCCAAAACTTATTAAAGTCTCTCTCTTGTTTTCTTTTAAGAGCCAGGGCTCCATGGGCCTTGGCCTCATTGTGTAGACAGAGCTGACCTGAGACTGCCGATCCTCCTGCTCTTCTGTCTCCCAAGTGCTGGGAGTACCGCTGTGTGCACCACCACTCCTACTTGATTAAAGTCTTAATAAACCCTTAAAAATTATACCCCAACTTGATGTCTAGAAACAGCATCTTGATTCTGTAGAACTAAATGCAATACAAAATTATTTTTAGAAACTAGCGAGCTGTACCTGCTCTCCATGAAAAAAAAAAACCCCAGAGTAATGAAAATGGCTTTCTGTGCTAACATTTTCAACAAATCCCGAAAGGAATATGGCTTAGAGAAACACAACAGCACTTTCTCTGTTACTTAGACAGAACGGCATATTTATATATTCTACCTTGAGTGGGTAAGCAGACCACGTCAAAGTGTGGACTGTTTGGTGCTCTAAGTCATCAACAGAAAAACACAATAAAACCCAGAGCTGTGACACTAAGAGAGGGTTTACCCAAGGTGAAGTAAAAGAAGTGACAATGCCTCTTAATTCCATATTGTAGGAATAAGCTCTCTTCACACCCACATATTCACACCCACTCTGCTCTTCAATCTTCAGTCTGATCAGAGTGGCAATACTGGGTGGTTAATAACTACTAATTTATTCAGTGCTCTTTAAAGCAAATCAGCATAATAGAATGTGACAACTGCACGTTGCTGTGATAGGTTAAATTGGCTAGAAAAATTATTTTTAAAACTTGACACAAATAAGTCAGATGAAAACAAAGTGATTTAGAACAATATTTTGAGGACTGAACACATGCAAATAGATGCCTTTGTATCAGGACGAAGCAAAAGGCAATCACTGGGTGCTAACAGTATTTTCTAGGCAGGCATCACTAGCCGATTAGCTGAAGCACACGCTCCCCTCCCTCCCATCTCTTTTGAGTCTGCCTGTGTCCAATATTGCCAGTTCTAACTTCCGTAACAATTACAAGCAACCAGAAGCTGACTTGCAGTGAGAACTAGTCATCATAAATCTCACAGTAACTAAGCAATTAATATGAGAAAAACATCAAAGAAAATGTCCCCAAAGAGAAATTCTGTAGCAGGTTGCTTCAGGTTTAATGCCATGCTGAACTGCTAATGGATAAACAAATTATCTAAGGAAGTATGAAAGCCAAAGGGTCCTGGACAAGGAAACCGAAAGGAAAATGGGTTTGGGGTTTATTAAGAAACACTCCCGGGGCTGGAGAGATGGCTCAGAGGATAAGAGCACTGTCTGCCCTTCCAGAGGTCCTGAGTTCAATTCCCAGCAACCACATGGTGACTCACAATCATCTGTAATGACATCTACAGCCCCCTTCTGACCTGCAGGCATACATGTAGGCAGAACACTGTATACATAATAAATAAATCTTAAAAAAAAAAGAAACACTCCCAACAAGCAGTTACATAGGCCAAAACACAGGGAGCAAAAACACTGTCCAAAGGACATTTCCTGCTAACTTACCAACAAACCACTGCCCTTAGTAGACTCCAAATCAGGGGCTTCTCACCAAAAAGTCTTTCATTTTGACAATAATAATTAGAAAAGCATATGTGTCTCTTCAACGACCAATCTTAAATTTATGCAACTGTCTGAAACACAGAAGTGCACAACGTGCTCAATGGAACATTGTGTCATTTAAAAAAGGTTTATTTTTGATTATGTGCATATGTACGTGTAGGAGCAGTGTGTAGTGTTTGCAGGGGCCTGAGCTGGAGTCAAAGACAGGAATGAGACGCTTAACATGAGCGCCGGGAATCCAACTCAGGACCTCTGGAAGAGCAGCCAGGGCTCTTAACCTCTTGAGCCATTTTTCTAGCCCCCTCATTATGTTTTTAAGCCATGCTGTGGTTTAAATGGTCCCCAAAGGCCCATAGGGAGTAGAACTATAAGGAGGTGTGGCCTTGTTGGATCAAGTGTGTCACTGGGAGCAGGCTTTGAGGTCTCAGACACTCAAGCCAGGCCCAGTCTCTCTCACTATCTTCCTGTGTCTGCGGATCCAAACTCTCAGCTACCTCTTCAGAACCATGTCTGCTTGTACACCAACATGACGATAATGGACTAAACCTGTGAACTGTAAACCAACCAATTAAATGTTTCCTTATAAGAGCTGTTGTGAGCGTTGGTGGCACATGCCTTTAACCCCAGCACTCAGGAGGCAGAGGGAGATCCAGCTCTGTGAGTTCGTGGCCAGCCTGGTCTACAGAATGAGTTCCAGCACAGAGAAACTCTGTCTCAGGAAACAAAAAACAAAAAACAAAAAACAAAAAAAAAAAAAAAAAGAGGAAGAAGAAGAGTTTAAAAAAAAAAGAGTTGCCATGGTCATGGTGTCTCTTCACAGCAATAAAAACCCTAACTAAGACACATGCTTATTACATAATTCTAGAATCTGGTTAAAGAGAAGGTATATTTAGGAATTACTATTTCTTTATTTTACAGGAGAAAATTGAGACAGCTCCTTTAAACTCAAACAAACAAAAAAAGTGGTTAGGTTCGTTAGCAATTAAGTCCACAGTCAACACAGCACTTTGGAAAACAAGTAAGACAAAGGCATCGTGGTGTCATGGTGCTTCATGTTCCAGTTAAGATGGCCTTGATGCCAATTCCAATTTCTAGCCATAAACAAAACAGTTCCAAGGCAGACCAACAGCAACAACCAAAGTAACCAATCAGCTTTCTGGTCTGTGAGAGAATCCAAAAAACTAGTCCCCTCAGGCCAAATTCCAATCCATCTTTGTTTTTATATGGCCATGAGCTAAGAATAGATTGTTTTTAAATGGGTAGGAGAAATATTTAGTGGCATAAAAATTACACAGAAATGAAACTTCAGTGTCCAACAAAGTCTGACTGGTATGCAACCACACAGACTCCCATTGTCTTTTCTTAACTTTCACTATGCTGTGGCAGAGCTGAGCAGCTATGAGACCACACAGCCTCCAGGGCCTGGCATCTCACTGTCACCCTTTACAGAGAAGCCTTGCCAACCACTCGTCAATCTAATGTACAAAACTCATGGTAATTTGATAGTTTTTGTGGTTTTATAACATAAAGAACACAAGAAAAATGTATCAGATTGATACCAGCAATGTATTTCAGATAAACACAAACATTCCCTTTATGACATCATACTCCAAGATGAGTTTATACATACGAGCACATATACCAGTCTTGATAATACATTCTGGAGTAAAAATAGTTAATTATTAGATATGATAAAGGATAACTAAACCAAATCACAGATGTTAACAAGAGAGATCAATGTTTACCATACAGGCATCCTATTTGAGGTCCTTTAAATAAAACAGGGACTACAGAAGACTAATAAAGAAAAGGCATGGCCTCTGGGCTCTGCACAGGCTTTCTGGCTACCTGCAAGTACTGGCCAAATTTATCTCAACACAAGAGTCCATATAAAAGTTAGAGTTTATTTATTGCCATCTGCTATTAGTAATTTAGTTAACAAACTGATTGTTATCTACAAGGCAAGGTGGTACCTGGGATACAGAGGTGACAGATGGCAAACCATGGACTCACCTTTAACCCAGACAGCAACCCTCAAAGGTCAAGAGTAAGATTAACTCCACAAGAGAACTGCCTTTAACTTTAACAAGAACTTTGATGTAGAGGCCAGAAATGTCTTTCTCTTTCTTTTTTGAAACAAGGTCTCACTGTGTAATCTAGTCTGGCCTCAACTGGCTCCCCTGCCTCAGACTCCCAAATGTCTCTGCACAACCACACCCAATTCAAAGAAACTCTTTACAATCCCTGCATTTAAGATTGATAAACTAAGCTTTGGAGAAACACCCCAGCTTAATGCAAGAGTGACTTACATAAACTCTCTGCTGTCCAAAAAAAACGCGATCATCTATCTTGGGAGATACTGAAGCACAAGCTGAAATCCTAGTTTCTAATTCTCTAAATGACACTGTACGGAAGAGTCAAATGCTGGAGGGGAGAGGGGTTAAATTAAGATCTTGTCAGACCCTAAAACTTAGATTGCTGTTTTTCTGCACCCTTGCAATGCAGAGAGTACAGGAAGTCTCATGTTTTCCCCTTCATTTCTCTCTTTCCCTTTCCCTCCTACTCCCCAGTTCTTCTCTTTCTGTTTTTCATTGTCCTGGGGACCAAATCAGGGCCTCATGAATGCTAAGCACACACTCTGCAACTGAGCAATACCCCCTTTTCTTTAAAGAAACAGCAGACAAGGAAAGGAGAGGCTAACTGCTTTTATTGATCTAGGGACCAGAAAAGATAGCTGGGATTCTATAGTCTTCCCTCTTTTTAATCTTAGACTTATCTATTATTTACCCCAAAGAGGATTCTAACCATAGTAAACGAAAGGGCACGTAATCACCTAAGGGTGTTAGTCACAAAAGATAAAGAAAAACTTTTCAATAAGCTGCCATCTATGCACACACTTAAACTATTATTAAAGTTATTTCATGTTTAGCCTGTATTTCTGACGTGTGGAAATAAGGAGCTGTGGTGATAGGAATTTGATTTACCAAATAAAATCCCCCTGAATTTAACCTTGGGGATCACGGCACTGTTGTCCTCTCCTAGCCTAACCCCAAGTACAGACCTTTATAACCTTTATAACCAGCTGCCTTTTCCTATCCCAGCACCAGTGGATTTCTCTATCTGCCATAGTACAAGGGGACTTTAAGACATGAACGGTGATGGCTGTAAGTAACGCTACAAAGAGGTGCTCAGCAGGCAGCTGAAGGAGTCCCACAAAGCAGACAAAACAGAGAACAAAAGGAACCGTGCCCAGTTCTGGTGTTACAAATAATGGGGAGTGGGTAGTTAGGGTGTAATAAAAACGTCAAGTTTCTGTGTGGAGAATACTGTAAAGTTCAAGATTTATCATCTGTATAAAGTGTAAAAGGAAGGAGGGCAGCTGTGTGGAGGTCTGTGGAACAACAGTGAGACAGCTGTTTACTGTGGCTTTGTCTTTTCTAAATAGATGACTCGAAGTGAAATGTAAACATACATTCTGATTGGTAATAACCTCTAAAAACAACTGAATCTGGAAGGTATAGAGTGGCCCATGGGTTTATCCATAGAAGTGACTTTGAAGCCCCTAAGATCTTCGGGGACATCAGGATAGCTCCAGAGGTGACTCCAGTCCACTCTTGATCAACAGTCAGTCCCCTTAACGTTTCTACTAACAATGTAAACAGAGTTGTAAACTTGCAAATGGAATCTACTTCATACTACAAATGCTAGCTATAAGCAAACAGCTTAAAATAAAAAAGGGTCTAAAATATAGAAGCTGGGCTTATTCCCAAGTACACTCTACTTTGAAGAATACCATCTGAATTTATTAAGAGATGGATAAATTTGGAAAGGCATTTTTTAACTTCACTAGTTTTAAGTGCTTTGTCATATATCAACCAGAAGCAGCCAGAAATAAACATGGCTGTTTGCTTACTTCCAGAAATAAGAATCTCAAGAGGTTTACGTGTGTCTGCCTTTTCTTTGAATTTTATCTTCCTAGCCCCTCAAAGACTGGGGACAGAACCATCATCACTCCCTGAAACATGCCACAGGTTCCATGAGGTAGATCTGTCTGTAAGGTACTAGCCAGAAACATGGACACCAAATAGTTAAGTGACTTTCTGGAAATGACCCATGGGAAAACAAGGCACAAATCCAAGACTTAACACAGGTCTGTATAGACATCCTTAGTACAAATTACTTATGGATCTGACACTAAGAAGCTGACCCAGGGTAAAGAGATACCCAGAAACTCGAAAGCCCATGGTACTGAGAACAGGGGAAAGAAAGTGATGATATTTGCAGCTTCATGTTACAGATATTGACAGTATTAACCTGAGATCATACAGGGCTGGAACAGCCAATGCTTGTCCTCTGATAACCATGACAGATCTATTTTTTGAGCCATGTTGGTCAGTGTTGTTCAATACAAGGACCTGGCATCCTCCTCTTAGCAGCTTTACTAATAAGAAATGGCTTCTTTGTTAGCAAAGATCTCTGAGCGTCCTTGCTACACTTCAGAACACAAAACAGCATCATTAGCTCACACTAAACTTTTAATGGATTTGAAATAATTCCAATATAAAAGGAAACAAAATTCAGGGTGATGCTTACAATAATTAATAAAAAGTTGTGTACAATGATGAAAACTGGAATTTTAGGAAATATAATTTGAAAGTTACAAAAGTGCTGATAAAATTTTAAGATTATTTTCCTTTTAATTCCTAAAAAAAAGACTTACAATAACATAACCAATGCTAGTTTCATTTGTTAGTTCATTAAGGAAATCTTACATCTGTTTCACAGATAAAGGGGTATACTTATGATGATCACATTCTGCCTTGAAAAGCAGCTTTGCAGTACTTCAGGTGGCTTTGCAATCCCTCTTTTCTTACAAGTGAATCAATAAATATGCTTATTTACAAAATATTTGCTATAAACAGACATAACTTGTGACACAAACCATATACATCCAGGTTTTTTGTTTTTTTTTTTTTTTAAATATAGCCTGGTCCTTGGTTCTTTCTTTTTTCAGTTTTTTTTTAAACTCCAATAACGACAGAGTACCACAGCAGTTTTCAGTAAATATCAGATAATCATGTCTGTCAAGACAATAGCTCAATACTAGTGAACACTGAAGAACAACAAGAATCTTGGTCTTACTGTTTCGTTTTCTCTTTCTCCCTCCCATTCCATCATTTCATAGGCAAAAGCCATCTTTAGAAATTTCATTGACTAAGCACTAAAAAGTAACACAAAATATAGTCTCAATGAGACAGCCCTAGTGACTCTGAGTCCGAGTTTGAGAAGTTAACAATTTGTCCAGATTGATGTGTCCAAATGCCACAGAAAGCAAGCAACATCATGCAAGTTAATAGTAAGGTGGAAAACCACTGTTTCGGCATCCAAGTGGTGCTCTGAGGAGGGCGTGCTCACCGTTACTTCAGGGGGCCGCATCATCCACATGCAAACCGGATATGTGTCACAATAGAAGCTTAGCTCACAAGGCTACTGATGAGAGACAACTGATTTCAACACAAGTGTGAGAACAGGTCTGAGTACAAGGAAACAAAGTATATTTTAAGCTTATAACAGCTAAATACTGCTTCTAGCAATAACTACTTAAGCTATAAGGAAATAATAGTATTTTAATTTAGAGAAAAGTGTGTTTACATACAGATCTTGAGTTAATCTGTATTCCGGGACTTTTAAAGGTAGGTAGTCTGAAATTTTCAGCCCTGGTTAGAGGCCAAGGGACACAAGCACCATTTCCCTAAACTACATCAACTCTATGTATGAAAAGACAGCATTTTAAGCTCTAAGTGTTTCTTCTACACCCCAGGTAGGATACAGTGGTCTATCCTGTGCAGCTCATAAACACTGACAAAAAGGCCACAGGTGTCACAGCCCCTTCCAGAATGTACTGATTCGATACTCTAAGAAAAGGAGTGGTTATGGATTTTTTGATTAAAATTATCATTTTAAGGCTTTTGAAAGGTTGGGAAGTTGAATTTCTTCTTAAACTATGGAGCCCATGCCACATAAATGGCTATAGAAGACTGGGAAAATAGTCCATCAAAGTTTTCAGAGTGTCCCTGCCTCTGACAAGAGGACACAGCAACGGTCAACAGTAAGAGCATGCAGGGTAGCTTTTGGGTGAGTACCACCTGCCATGCGGCTCAATCTGATTTGCCTAAATGTGCTGACTTGACGTCAGGAGCACTGGCTTGGACAATCCATTGCTACTCCTTTTTCCTCACAATGTATACTCTCCAAAGATCCATTGATTATTGACAGGAAGCATGACCACAAAAGGTCCCTATAACAGTGAACTATCAAGACCAGAGGCATGATATAGGTAATTACACATTTGAAGCCATAGACAAGAGTTCAATGGTTTTAGTCTTGACATGTCAGATGAGTACCCTGCTTTCCAATCACAGAAAGATCAACCACCAAACAGCCAGTGCAAGGACCAGGAGAAAAGACATCATGAAAGGAATACGAGGAGACGGGAAAGTACTAGAGTAGAGGTGGCACTTTTTGAGAGCCTTGTGTTCCTCGGGGATTGGAATAGAAACCTTGGGAGGAATCTCTTCATTTTCTTGCTGGGGCAAGGTTCTCTCAGTGGGTCTCTCTGGCCTTTTAATTTTCTCTTCACCCTGTACTAACAGAGCACGTTCCTGTGTCTGCTTTCACGATAGAAGATCAAGAAAGACAGAGAAAGATGAACAAAATGACAGATGGAAAATGCTTAAAAGTGATACTTGGGGATGTGCAAAGGTGTGGGAAGATTGGACGCTCTTGATTCTAGCCTCTCTTAGGCAATTTACCTAGCTGTTTCTAGAGCCCAGTAAGTTTAACTAGGCAATTAAATTAAAATTTAATGTTTGAATCAATTGGCATTGGAATCCTTGAAAGTTCAAGCAATCACTGGCTTTCCTTCGCTCTATCACTTATTCCCTCATTGAGGCTATTCATTCACGATTTTCCTTCACATATGGATTCCAGGTTACTTTAAATTGCTTTAGTGCGCAAGTAATCACTGGATCAGGCAATGTCAATAACAAAGCATTCTTCTTGTCATGAGTAAAGTTACTTTTACTAACAAATAGAATGGCAGAATATAAAGAGCAATTTTCATATCTCTTCAAAAAAGACTTCAAATGTAATAACTCAGTATGAGAATTAGATTTTGCTCAGGGGAATAGAGGTAGTAAAGACTTCAAAATAAGAACAAAATGTATAAATATTTATAATGTGCCCCCAGGGTCTACTGTGGGGTGGGAACAGGAGCAAAGGAAAACAAGAAAAGAAAGGAAAACACATTCCCACAAGACCTCCAGCCGTTGCACAGCCTTGGAATCCTGACTAAAATAGTAATGGTCATCAAGAAGGATTATACACTTAGGAAACACTTCCAGTAACTTTTAAGGAAAGATCTATCTCCAGTTGGCCAACTGAGACTTTTCTCCTCCTGTATCTCTGCATTCTGCCATCTGTAGCCAAGGCAGAAGGTCTCTATGAAAGGAAAAACTTGGCTCTGAGTTCTCTTAGTTGAGCTAGCCTTCTCTGGTCAGTTTGGAAGTTGAATACTGGTTCTTTGCACACCCCTAAGTGATATGTATCAGGGAGAAAGTAGCTAGGGGACTGGTCAGCAAAAAGAATAAAAGGAAAAGATAGGATGCAAAATCAAAATGATTTTTAAATGAAAACAAGGTGGGAGGAGAAAGACAACATAAAAAGAACAGGGTATAATTAAATTCATTTTCTCTCTGAATACATATTAACATCTTCATGCAGTTCTTTCAACCAGCCATGCACTGAAAAAAGCAAATTGGAAACTGCAGATGCTGCAGCAGTGGAAGTATGATATGTTAGGCCAAAGGCTGTGGGTGTGGATTTACTAGTGTAGCAAAAGAAAATAATTGTTCAGCCACTGTTGCTGAGTTCTGGGATCTCTGCTTAGAGCCATGACCAGAGCAAGTTCTATTGTGCAGCGCAAGTCACAGCAGCAGCGTTACCTCTGGCCCACCAACCTTTCTTTCCGAGGGGAGAGTGGAAGTTTTCTTCACCTGGTCATACACAAATTATATAAAGTTCAGTTGTCTTGCAATGCAACAACAGTGCTGCCAAAGGTAGGACAGGTATTCCCAGAGAACAGAAACATTAGCCTAACCATAAAAAGATATGCCAAAAAGTAGAGTTGTCCCAGTACAAAAGATTAAGACAGTATAGTCATTTACTCCATTATTCATCGACAGGGAATATGTGTGTGAGTGTGTGTGTGTGTGTGTGTGTGTGTGTGCGTGTGTGTGTGTGTGTGTGTGTGTGTGTGGTGTGTGCACATAAAGCTAAAATTATTTGAGCATCCCTCAGGGATTGAGTTGAGTTAATAAGAAGTCATTTCTTTAAAGTTCACAGAATGGCACTGCCATCCCCAAACCAGCCTTAGGATGATTTCTAAAGGGTTTCTATTTAAAGACATATACTATTTTCTGAAAATGCAGACCAATACAAATTTACCCAATTACATCTAAGATAGCATCAAGTTACTTTTTCAAGCTACTTTCAGAGCCCAAAACAGAACTAGAAAAATATGCAAGTGCAGTTTGTAGAGGGGTTAACAGATGAGATAGCAACAAGCCACTCATGTGTAGAACACCAGAGTAAGCAAGGGCATTTAAGATCACCCATTCTATAAACAGGCCCAACAAGACAAATGGCTTGTTCAGAGCATTTCATTAAGCTTTGACTGGCCAGACCCTCTCAGTCAATCACACTGCAACTATCCTTGGACCTTTATGAGTCTGATTTCTGAGGACACATCAAATCACATTGTCTGCCTCTCAGAGTGATGGTCTTACCCAGTCATGTTCCCAGTTTAAAGCACATATTACAGACTCAGGACCCAAAAGTAATGGACATGTATGTCTGGGAACAAGGTCTGCGCGGACAGTGTGCCCCCCAACCCCAATAACTACTCAGCTGCCCTCCCACCTCATCTGTGAAACTGTTAGCTAATTTCAATCTAAATTTGAAAAACAGAACAGGTTTTCTTGGAAGAATTTTTATCCCTGTCTGCAGCTGCAGAAACTAAGTAATAATTGATATAACTGGACAGTTCACCAAGAATCCTGAAAAAAATGTAAACACAATTTGTGTTTTGTTTAGGGAAAGAGTCTTACTCTGTTACTCAGTTCTGCTTCAAAACCCTAAACTCAGGCAATCCTTCTGCCTCAGCCTCACACGGAGTGGGACACAGGGTCATGCCTGGTAAACCTCAGGTTTTTATTGGTGTTATTAGTTTGCCTTTCTCAACTACAGCTGCAATTGTTGGGAGGAAGCAAAGTAAGCACACAATTAAAAAATATACAATCAGTCATTAAGTTATGGTGACTGTTTATATAAATGACATACTGGCTAGAGATAAAGACTTTTTAGATGTAAGTTTGACAAGATACTACGTTTAAACAGATCTATTTATTCTGAGGTAGGGTTTCCAAAGTAGGAAACAGTAACAATAGTAGAGAACAGACGCTGAAAGTTATCTCTGGCCTCTTCTGTTCGTAACTTCTCATAAAACAGCTGGTTGGAGGTTTGATGTTATGCAAGATAAATCATCAGTTGTTTTTGTGAAATTGAGTGTTCTACATTCGCTGGCTTCAGGGCCTCCTTTGTTTCTTATATAACTGTGAGCAATCATTCCAGACATTTCTAAGTTGTACAAATGTTCAAATAAAGTTTTAAAAAATGTGCTCCCTTTCGGTTGTGACCTTACTAAGTTTAGCAAACTCTCTGGTGCTGGAAGGCACATTTTGAATATAAACAAAGCTTTACTGGCATGAAGTCAATTTATAAACACAAACTAGCCAGAAGCAGGCAGCTTCGAGCAATTCTCAGAGCCCAGACATCCACTAGTAATGCTCTAAAATTTCAGATGCAGAATATTAACATATGTAATTAAAATACTTATTGCATTCAGCCTCACAGTCACGTGGACAAAGTACTTACTCCATCTCCAGTAGGGACTTGCCCATTGATGTTAAGACTTCGGAAGGGTGAGTGTGTGGATAAGCGCTTGTCCCACTCGCTAGGACGTGGCTCGGGTACCGATTCCATAAAGTTTTTTTTCAGTTCACTGATGCTGGCATGATGCTTTTTGATTTCTTCTTGACTCTTGTCTAAATCCTACAGTTGAAAGGACAAAGATGTAAAACAATAAATAGTTGGGACAAAAAACACACCATGGGCAGCCTATCAGAGACCGGGCACTGGTTACAAACACCACATCCAGGGCAGGTGACTGGCCTGTATTTTGCATTAGGATTGTAAATACACAGCATTGTTTGCCTCTCTTCTTTCTTTCTTTTTAAACAAAGTGCTGTACTTGGAAGCAGTGAAGCATCACAATCGTACAGCTCGAGGAGGCTAAACTGCTCACAAAGAGCTTGCTCCTTATAATTGTGTAACTCCTCTTCCACAGAGGATGCAAAACCAGACCTCCACCTCCTCATCCTGAAAAGGTAACCTCACAGTTCAATTAGTTCAGTTTGATGAGAACTGACTTAGGCTCAGCTCAGGCAGGATGGAGATAGCAACAGGGAAACTGATGAATGAAGGACATGGCAAATGACCTCAGCTTCAACTAGCTACTGTCCTCGGTGAGCAGCAACACTGAAGAGTCCCCCTCTGCCCATTGCAATACCTTTGCTTCTCTATTACTAAGACTTTTTGATTCAAGAATTTATTACTAAAATCCCTAGTTCCAGCCTCCAAAAGTCAGTTGTTATTAATGCTAAAAAAAATAAATAAAATGACTTTAAAGATTTTTTTCAAAATAATGCAAGTGTATGTGCAGGTGCGAGTGCAGGCCAGAGGATGACCTCAGGGTCCCCCAGAAACACTGTCCACCTCTCCTGAAGCAGGGTCTCTCATTGGCCTGGAGCTGTTAACCAAGGGTGAGGCTGTCTGGTCACCGGGTCAGGGATGCTCCTGTGTTCACTCCCCCAGCTCTGGGATTACAAGTATGCTCTTCCATGCCCAGCACTTTTATCTGGGTTCTAGGCACTGAATTTCAGTCCTCACACTTTACAATTTTATATATATATATATATATATATATATACATATATATATATATATATCCTTATGGTTTCCCAGTTTCATTTCTCTTAATATAATACAAAATAGGGACTTACTGGGGCTGGGTGAGTGGCTCAATAGAAGTGTGTTTATTAGTACACACACAGCCTTCGGTTTGATCATCAACACTTCCAATGACTGTCTAGAATCTCATATCTCTCCTTGATAATTTAAAATAATACAGTTGTTCCAGCAGTGGGAATACTGGACAACTAGAGGTAAATGAAAAGCTCTTTAAGATAACATTCTAGGGAAAGATGATAAAAACTAAGGCTAAAAAAGCATAGGCTAAGACATATTCAGATTTTTTGTTGTTGTTGAGACACATAATTTTTTTTTTTTTTTGCAAAGAACATGAGACCAAAAGGAGTCTGATAAATTTAACTTGAAAACAAAGACTTGAATGGTCTTTGTCTAACAACATACACACACACACACACACACACACACACACACACACACACACACACACAGAAAACCTCAAAAGTTTGAGTTCCAGGTCACAATACCTGGAACCTGAAGCTATAAAACAATCTTGTGTTTATTTCCCATTAGGGCAGCATTATATCTAAGAGAAGCATGATGCTAAATAGATCTCCCTACATCCTGTGTGAACTTTGGGATTTATCTATTTTTGGCATTGTGGGAAGTAATTTCATTTTGGAAAACAAAAATAAAGTGGAATTGAGTTTTTGAACAACATGTGTTTACAAGTTTTTGTTTTTTGTTTTTTTCTGCAAGCAAGAAAGATCCTAACTAAATAAAACTTTCTCCAAACCACCATCAAGGAGAAAACAATAAAACAACAACAACAACAACAACAAAAAAAAACAGGGACTCACATGACATCTGGACTCTGAGGTTGTTCCCTCAGAAACTCATAAACTAGTCTCTTTTCTGTTTTTGCAAGATTGGCCCATGTGTATTTGCTTAGAGGGCAAAGAGAATACTAACCCCAAAAGTAACTGTAGCTTCCACAAAGAGCATTTATTGCTTACTAGGAATGTGTGTGTGTGTGTGTGTGTGTGTGTGTGTGTGTGTGTGTTTGTGTGTGTGTGTGTGTTTGTGTGTGTGTGGTTGTGTGTGTGTGTAATGTCTGTGTCACAGCTGAGAGCAGGGAGGGTGTGAGGCGAAGAAAAGCTTGCAGAGCTCAGTCTTAGCTCAGCAACCAAGACCCATCAGGCTTGTGAGAGTGTCACCCAGCTCCTGACTGGTGTTAAATCTGTTTTGGCCAAGAACAACTGAACACATTTATGATGATTAAAAGTACAAACAAGGCAAAACAAAAACAATCAAGAGATACTGTGATAAACACAATTGTGAGCAGCCTGAGCTGAGCCTGCTGATCTGAAACTCTTCTAGCATAGCTTTTGATTGGTTTGGAATCTGAGAAAGATACATTTTGCAATAAAGCTGTAGCTTCTGAGGGAGCTTTCTCCATCCTTCTTAGCTGGCTTTGTGGAAACCTGTGGGGGCACAGAATAAAATTAAGATCTCAAAGGGACCTGTTCCAAATAGAGTTTGTCATAGACATTTGCTACAGGTTCTCTCTGGGAGCTGGAGGAGGAGGCGGTAGATCTAAAAATGAACTCGACCTTATTTGTGCCAGAACAAAGCATTAGTGGGGGTGTGATAAGAGAAGGCGGGAAGGGATGCAAAAAAAAAAAAAAAAAAAAAAAAAAAACCCCCCCCAGGGGAAAAAAAAAAAAAAAAAAAAAAAAAAAAAAACACCTGCCAGAGTGACAGATAACTTGAGAGAACTTCCTTAGGGGCATTTTTATAATAACTAAGGAATGATCGTCAAATGTCATGTTCAGGTTAGATAATTTTTGATGATTTTAGCAGCAATAAAACCAAACACATTGTTAAATGTAAAATGTTCTCAAAAGGCAGTTAGTAATTTTAAATTCCAAACACACACTTATTCAGAAATCCCCTCCCAGGGCTCTCAGTAAAATGCCACAGAAGAAAACACAGCACAACACAGGATTTTGTGAGTCTCAGAAGCCCCAACACACCTCGTGGAATGAATGACAAATATATGATTGGCAAGTCAGGGAATGTGCGGATTTAGAGTGGGGAGATGTCACACTGAGAAGAGGAGATCACCAAACTGGTGTTGTCCTTCCTAATTCCAAAGACAACAATTCAGGCCTCAGATATGGGCTAAGAAGAGACAGCCAGTTTCCAAGTTTAAAATAAGAGTCTGGCCTTAGAAATTTTTATTTCTATTATATATATGAGACATAAATTATATATATGAGACACACACATATATATATGTGTGTGTGTGTGTGTGTGTGTGTGTGTGTATGTATATATATGTAAAGCACTCGGCATTGTGTCAGTCATTCAATATGCAATTAATGAAGGCCATCCATAATTTTTATTATTTGTATTAAAGTACCTTATATATTAAAAGTATAGTTATCAACAAAAAGTGAAAAAAATGAAATGAGAGTCAATAATCTTTACAGGTGATATTAGTAATGAGAAATCTATTTTTAACATATGTTTGGGCCTTTTTTATTGGCTTTTTGTTTTTAGTTTTGAGACTAAGTCTCATATAGCACCGACTGGCCTTAAAATACAGAGCTGAGAATGACTTGACTCCCAGATCTTCTTGTCTCAGCCTCAAGGGTGTGGGGATTAAAGATGTCCTACCATGCATGACCAGACACCTATTTTTTTTTTTTAAGTTTCTGCAATCCTTCATATTTAATACACGGCTCTTCTTTCAGGTCTCAATTAAATGCTATCTCACTGGATACAATGGCACACTCCTGCAATGCCTTCAAGAGGCCAAGGCAAGATGGTTATTGAAAATGCTAACTTCATTCCGCCTGCTTTAGAGTAGATTGCCTAAAGCACAGCGTTCATATGCCACAGTTTCCCTAACAGCCTGTAACTATGGCATTGCTCTTCACGCGTCTTTATCCTCTCCCCTCAGATCCACACAGTGTAAGCTTCCTGCAAGCAGAAACCATGTTGGTTGTTTCCTTCACAGGAAAGCTAACTCCCTGTGAGAAGAGTTTACATTCATTTCTTTTGGTTCTGCCTTGAGTTGTTATATTATGTAGTCTTCAACTTCTATACTTTAACGTCAACTTCCTGGTGTACAAATTATACTGGTCTTCCTTTCTTCCACAGAGAATAATTCCAATTTCCTTAGTTTTTCTCACTGAGTTCCTCTAACCTCTAATTTGGTTTTGCATTTCATATCCAATGTGTAGCTGTAGCCTAGATATATGAATGAGGTAAAAATCTGGTTACTACTGATGTAATAGGAAAAGGACCTTAGGACTCCTCCTTGCCTATATGTCTTCCTCGTCCCTCCAGTTTCCTTTGGCAATCTTGTGCTATCTCCAGTGAGTAAGCCCTTACTAATTGTGATCACTTTCCCTCTTTTATTTATTTATTTATTTTTGATACTCTTCTCAGTTCAGGGAAAAAAAGGAAAAAAAAAACAGTACAAATTTGTTTCTTGGGACATTCGGAGTTTTTATATTCTTGGAAAATTAAAGAAACTTGTAGCAATGATGTTGGAATGTTCCGAAAGGGGGTAAAACAGCAGGGCCATGAGAGGGAGAGACAGCTCCAATCATATATTTTTCTAGATAGTATGAGAGATGGAAACTAAAAGTTAGGAGAGATGATTGCATATCTTCGTGTTTACTGACATGCAAAAGCACTTTAAACCTAGAAATCTCACATGCAGTGTCATGCAAAACCAAACACAGTGCAGAATGAGGGGATCAGCAAAGAATGCAGAAGGTTCCAGGCAACCAACTTAAATAAGCTTCAAGTTCATACAAACCTCCAACATTAAATTGCTATGTCTGATATAAATGTTTTCACCATCTAGTCTCTCTCTCTTTTTCTGTGAAAATGAAAGGGGAAAAAACAGAAGCATAAAAAATTAAAATGTTGTTCTTGCAGGGGAACAAACTGCAAATTGGCAAACAAACAAACAAACAAAAAAACAGTTAAAAGTAAATGTCTGCAATGCAGCATATGCCAACATGAAATGATCACAGAACTACAAGGACACACAGAGAGCATGGCTACCAGAAAAGAATGGATGACTTTGGCTGCAAACAATGATGATGTTATTTAAATAGACAGTGCTCCTGGCTTCATAGCTTCTAACACAATAAGCTTGGGGTTTTTTGTTTGGCTATTTATTTATTTATTTATTCATTTTTAGAGACGGGGTTTCTCTGTGTAGGTTTATAGACCAGGCTGGCCTCGAACTCTCTGTCTCCTGAGTGCTGCGATTAAAGGCATGCGCCACCACCACCCACCTTCACAATAAGCTGTTTATGTTGTTTTTGAAGTTGAACTATTTGATTATTATACTGAACACCATGTGTCATGGAGTGGAGAAATTCTGTATTTAAAAAAATCAGCTTTCTGGAAAGTTTCATACTTGTGAATACTGCAATATCTGGAACTCTACAATGTTCTGTATTCAAACAGGTAACAAGTATATCCAGTAAGAACTGGTTCATCCCACTCTGAGGTTGGGAAATAAGCACGCAGCAGTTAAACTCATACTGCTAATGCTAGGAGGTGCTGCTGTGGTGGCTTTTGTGATAAATGTGTATAAAATGCTAATGGCTCTAATAGCGTGATGCCATTGGGAAAGTTCTTGTAGAGTCTGAACATGAAAGATAGGCCTGCCCCTCACAACTGTATTTTGTTAAGATATTTCTCTGCTGAAAGCTTACTTTGATAAAACCAGTCAATAAACAGTCTAAGGTTCGTGTGTGTGTGTGTGTGTGTGTGTGTGTGTGTGTGTGTGTGTGTAAATACTCATCACAACTGTACTGTTTGAAGGTTCCCCACATACTGACTGGTTCTCTGGAAGTAATTCCTAATGAGGAAAATCAAGGGCTGGACCACTGTCTGTTTAACACACTGTCATCAGCATGGGTGAAATGGCAGCATAGTCGTGTGAAAGCAGAAAATGGCTAACCTTCCTCATTCTTATCAGATCTTCAGTTTTTTCTGCAGGCTTCTGTTTTGCCACAATTCAATAAAGAAAAAAAAAAGATAAAATATTGGCTCATTGAAGTCGGTTTGAAGCTTTTATTTATTTTTAGAGAAAGTGGAATGGGGGAGAATTTAAAACTAAGGGGTGGAAGAGGAAAGGCACAAGTGGCCTGTGGCACAAACCTGTGTTTGGTCACCGTTTGAGGTAGGTACTGTGACCTCGATGTGGGTTTTTTCGACCTACATTTAAGAAATAAAATAGTGAAACATTTTAGGTTAGCAGGCTTCCATGAATAGTTAAACAGCTTCATGAAGCTGGGGTGGGGTTAAATGCACTGAAAAATGATCACCACAACAGGGAAGGTTTTACTCCCAGTGCAGTCTGTTAGTTCATCATCAGAGACTCAAGGCTGACGTGGAAAAATGGATAGCCAAATTACCAAAAGTTAATCATTCTGTTGATGAAAAAATATTTTAATATTTATTTATATAAAAAAGTACCCACTAAAGCAATGACCTGGAAGGACTTTAGTGTGTGTGTGTGTGTGTGTGTGTGTGTGTGTGTGTGTGTGTACACGTCATGGCACTTGTGTGGAGGTCAGAAGACAATCTCGGGTGTCAGTTTCACCTTCTACCTTGCTTAAGACAGGGTCTCTCTTGCCCACTGAGGTGTATGCCATATCTTCCCGATTCTGTCTCACAGATGCAAGTGTTACTGCGTGTGGATTCCTATGAGGGCTCTGGGGACTTGAAGTCAAGCAAACACTTGATCCACTTAGTCATCTTCCCAGCCCTAGAAGTACTTTAAATCATATTTAAGAACAGATTTATAAATAGAGATATAAATGTGTAATGTACACGATAGAAATAGTTTTTTTAGTTAAAACACATATAATAAAGCTTGTAAGAAACCAAACAGGTAAACACAAGAGTCTGTTAGTTGATCAATACATGTAAGGATATGATTTTACTCTTCAGTTTATCGAAAAAGAGAGCATCAAAATAAATTGCAAACAAACTGTAACTGACATGGGCAACTATTCCACCTCGAATACAGCATCCAACATTGCAGTCTCCTCTCTAGGAAGCTGGAACCACATGTTTGGCAGACAGGCAAGATTTATGCTCAGTAGTAGGAGAGGACTACTATCCTAGGGACGCCTGTGTATCTTTGGGATACCTCCAGAAATAACCATCTTATATTCAGAAACTGGAGTAATTACTTAATAACCTGATTATGACGAGGAAACACAATAGGGTGAGTACTGAATGAAATGCCATGCATCTCAAATTTAGAAACTAAATTGTCTTTTCTAAGGGTTAAATCGGTTTTGTTATATTACTCATTTTTTTACAGAACCTCATCAACTTGTGATTTTTGACATATTCTTTTAACTCACACAAAAGGAGCACTACTCTGGAGAACAATTTCTCTGTGCTATTTTCCCTAGGTTGAATATAAAAAACATTAGGTAATACCAGACTTTGTAACACTGCCAAACATACACACACATCCAAACACACCACTTCTAACTACCAGGAGTAATTAACAATTGGGTCATTCTGCTCTAGATCCCAGTGAACAGCTTAACTTTTCTTAAGTAAGAAAATGAAGAAAACATCTGTCTTCAGGTTGTTGTTTGTTTGTTTGTTTGTTTTTGAGTCAGTTTCACTATGTAGCCTGGGCTGGCCTCCAACTCCATTTCCCAAGATCTGGAATTACAGGCATGTGCCACTATGCCCAAATTAAAGCTGGCATAATATCTTCATAAACTTATGTCTACTCTGCAAATATTAGTTTTAAATTATTTCATAAAGCTTAAGTTCCTTGTTTAAACAATAATGTCCTTCTGGGTCCTTAGTAATCTAGCAGCAGAAAATGGAGAGCCACTACTTCAGTTTAAGAATTAAAGCCAAAAAGAAGGGAGCAGTGGTTCATACCTACAGTACCAGCTACCAGAGAGAACATGGCAAAGGATTTTGCCAGTGCAGGAGTTCAAGGCTAGCCTGGGAAAGAGAAAACCCACTTCATTCTGCCAAAGCTCCAAAAGCAAAAGGAACCTATTTTTGAAGTACCTGTATGTTTTATGGGCAAAAGGAAAACAAACAGCAAGATAGCAGAAGACCAGAGGCATCTTAGCCATTCAGGAAGAGCCCCCGACAACTACAAACAGCCTACACAGTCAGAAGTGTTAGATTATAAATTCTAACATTAAAAACCAAGCAGGTATTCAAAGGCCACAAGAGCCTGAAGACTAATGTTATGGGCACCAGGCTAGTTACAAAAGTGCAAAAGCTCACCATTCATTCACTCAAAGACAGGGAAATGTAATAATTAAAAAAATTAGCTGTCAGGGGCTGGAGAATGGCTCAGGGGTTAAGAGCACTGCCCATTCTTCCAGAGGTCCTGAGTTCAATTCCCAGCAACCACATGGTGGCTCCCAGCCATCAGTAATGTAGTCTGGTGCCCTCTTCTGGACTGCGGGGATACATGCAGGCAGAGCAGTGTATATATAATAAATTAAAAAATTGCTTAAAAAAAAAAAAGAGTTCTGTTGAAAAAAAAATTAGCTGTCCACTGTTCTATATTAAATAAGACATTGATCTGGCTCCAAAAGAACAGGCCTTAACATAAAATACTTTTTTGTTGTTGTTGCTGTTGTATGTTTTAGTTTTTTGAGACAGGGTTTCTGGCTGTCCTGGAACTCGATCTGTAGACCAGGCTAGTCTTGAACTCAGAGATCCACCTGCCTCTGCCTCCCAAGTGCTGGGACTAAAGGTGTATGCCACCACTGCCACTGGGCAGTGAAATGTCATTCTTATGAAGGCCTTTTCTCATAGTCTCTTAACAACAGTGAGACCTGCATCTACTTTAACAGACCTAAACTAGCACTGTGTAAATGTTATTTTAAAAGCTTGAACCTATAAATAAGACCAGCCCAGTTATGAGTTCTTGGAGATTTGCTAATTAACTGGTGATTTTTTAGCTCAGTGCAGGGACTATGGGTTTATTCAACCCAGCAGTACAACTTCTCCCACACAACAGATCTTCTCCATATCTAGCTGTGTACTGCCTAAAGAACTGGGCTGGAGAGATGGCTCAGCAGTTAAGAGCACTAGCAGCTCTTGCAGAGGACCTGGGTTTGATTTCTAGCACCTACATGGTGACTCACACTGTACTCTAGTTCCAGGGGATCTGATGTCTTCTTCTGATCTCTGAGGGCACCAGGCATGCACTTGGTGCACATAGATAAATTCAAGCAAAACACTCATACACATAAAAAAAAAAAAAAAAAACCCAAAAAGTTAGAAAGGATTTAAATAGCTATATAAATGTGCTTGATGCAATATCATTTGGAAATCAAATTCTACAAAAATAAACAAGAGGTTGATGAGAGACGATTTCTTTTAGAAACAACAAGAAAAAGCAACTTTGTTGGGAATCTGTAAGATTTGGTTGCTCTAGAAACAGCTGTAACTCAGAAAGTGTGTTAGCTGAGGTCAGGTTTCTAAGACATACCTTCCATGCTTCTGTGGGCTCTGGCTCAGCTGGCTCAGGTGGCTCCTCTTCCCCTTTCACTTCAACCTTCGAAGCTTCCTTCTGTGTTTTTTTGACGGGTGCCCCTGGCGCTTCTGTGACCTGACTCTGAGCAATGGCTGGTGCAGAGGTGGGCCGAGGACTTCGGTCTGTGGACTCGGCAGCTGCTGCTAAGTGAGGAAAGAAGGAAGAATAGATGAAGGCAAGTGTCATTGTCCTGACCTTAAGTCACAGGGTGAAACTGTGAATCCTGTATCTACCATATAGAAAGCAAAACACAGACCATTAGTGCTTTTCAAGGTACCTGATGGCAACAAGACAAAGGCATCCTCAGCAGAGAACTAGGACATCTTAATGACTATTTCATAAATGCATAAATTTCAGGGGCAGACTGAAGCAAGGAAGCAAAACCATTTAATTTATAAGCTACTAGTTAAAAAAAATTTATAATGAAGGGTAGATTCAGGATGGCTCTCCCAATAAGCCTTTTTGAAATAAGTATCTGTTTGCTTTTAGATGGTTTCAGAAAACTAAGTATCTAATTTAAGGGGGGAGGGGGAATGAAGTCTGTTTTCTTGTTTTTGTTTTGTTGTTTCAGTGAAGCCTCTACAGAATGATTACAAAATGGCTGATAAATGGCTTTCCCCGATAAGACAGGGACTACTACTGTTTGATGTGTGTGAAGGCAAATCTTTGAGTCAGACATTCTCCTTTAATAAATCATCTGACTAACATTAATTCAAAAACTTCTCTCATCCAAAAACAAAGAATAAGGTAATGGAACCCTCTCCACACCTTACCAATGTCTTACAGCCTGTTCTCTAAAGTACTGAACCCAACCGGGGATTGTCCGTCCCGCCCCCCCCATCGTCTCCTCCCTCCCCGTCCCCCAGGGCATATTTGACAATGTCTGGAGATGTTTTTGGTTGTCACAAATGGGGCAGAAAGACAAAGGAGGTGCTGACATCTAGTGCATAGAGGCAAAGGTTGCTGAGGCTGAGAAACCCTGGTTAGGGGAGAAGTCTGCCTAGACCACTTTGGAGAGAATAAACAATACAGGCTGACAATAAAAACCTCTGCACATACTTAATTAAATGCTGCTTGGGTTTGAACTATTTGGCATCTATGCTTTAGGTAACTTAATTCAAAACAGGGATTGGAGCTATAGCTCAGTGATAGACTGCCTAGCAAGCAGGATGCCCTAGGTCCCACTCCCAACATCACAAAATATAACAAGATTATTTTTAAGCTTTTAACCTTCATTCTTTTCTTTTAGGGTTTAAAAGAAAATACCCATACATTTTGTAGCAAATTTTACTAATTAGACACTGTTTAAGAAAGTACATTTTTAAAAATGTGATTTAGTTTCTGTTTATTTTTTGTTTGTTTGTTTGGGGTTTTCTCTATATAGCCCTGGCTGTTCTGGAACTCAGTATATAGACCAGGCTGGCCTTGAACTCTCAGAGATCTGCCTGCTCCTGCCTCCTGAGTGCTGGGATTAAAGCATGTGCTATGACACCCAGCTTTAATATTTCATTTTAAAATTGTATTTAATTTCTATTACCAGTGTGCCTGTGTGCATCGATGCACATGTCACAGAGTGTGTGTGGAGATTAGGGGATAACCCTGGGCATTGATTCTTTCCTTCCAACTTGGGATCAGGGACTGAACTCAGGATGTCAGGCTTGTATGCCAAGTACTCTTACTTCCTCTTCAGACTACTGAATGTAATTTATTCTGATACATTTAGATTTATAAACTTTAAAAAACGAAGCAAAACAAAGGAATTCTTTAAGCTACAACAGATTGAAAAGTTGAAAGTTACAACTATGTTATACATAGGACAACAAGAGAGAAACGCTTATTATCCTGTAATTGTCTCCAGAGAAAGAATGTCTCAGAGGATGCCTAGCAGAACAGCAGATACACAGAGCCTATTTCATCTTGCAATGACAGATCTGTGGCTGCTTGCAAGTCCCTGTTGCTAATGGGTGCTCTCAGCTAGTCAATGCAAGAGTGGCAGATGGCAAAGCAAACCTAACAAACAAGGGAAATGACAAAATATTTTTCTCACAGTTGTGCTAAAGCCTCATATTACATGTGTATTCACACCTCCTCTCCAAGAATTAATTCAACTCTGCCTGGAATCGCAGAAATATAGCCCTTGCTTTCATCGTGCACTATTTTGCCACATGAATTTGGTTCTAATCCAATACTAATACTGCAGAGCCAAATGATTTATGTTTTCTGCATTCCTACTGTGTATGGGAAAGTAGACACAAATATAAAAACTAATGGTTAGACACAGAGGGGGCAATAGTTCAGAAACTGGAAAATACCAGTTACAGTGAACATCTCTCGCTAAGAAAAGCAGCAAGAAACAGGCAAGATCCAAACCCTGAACATCACACGTGAACCTCACTCACAGACGGCTAGGAAAAGAGACTTGAGTATCCTCATCTATGGAATGTGGAAGACACTAACTGTAGGAGAGCTGGGGAAAAAATACTCAACAGATAGAAAAATACTAATTAATTCTAAATATCAATAACTTTTAACATCATACTCAAGTCCTTATATTTATTTTTATAGACTACTATTTCAAGAATATATTGGGCAAAATTAATTATGCACACAGTGGTATACAATTCAAATGAAGGATACCACCTAGGAGCCCTTGAGAAAGGTAAACTTAACTTTCACAGTAAGGAGACTGCAAAGTATAGATGGCAATAAATATGGTAGGGTTTTTTTTAACAGCTTTATTGGGATATAATTTACATATTGTATAGTTTGCTCATTTAAAGGATAATTAAATGTTTATTAGTATGTGAGGTTTGTTTCTAAGATGTTTGGCTCGGGCTGGGGAGGGGACTCAGCTGGTAATGTGCTTGTGGTGCAAGCCCAAAGACTGGATTTCACATCCTCAGCACCATCCGCCAGCTAAGTAACATGTGTGAATCTGGCCCTGGGTTAGCGAGCAGATCCCTGGGGCTCACTGACAGGCCCACCTATCAAACTGGTAAGCTCCAGGTTCAGTGAGTGATCCTGTCTCAAAACATAGGTGGAATGTGATCATGGAAAGCACTGATGTCAACCTCTGGCCTCCATGTACACTGTACAATACACCTACTGCAGCTCATGCTTGTGAATGTATGCACTTTAATTCAGGGTTAGAACATAGCTCAATGGCAGGGCACTTGCCTAGCATGCCTTCGGTCCTGGGTTGGATCCTTTGTACCAAGAAAAAGATAAATGATAACTGCCTTCAGCATTATTACTTCATTTGTTAGCTATTAAAGATTCGGGAGTCTGGACCTGGAACACTTAACGTTAAACAGTGTCTTCCTTTTCTGAAGGTTCTGATTAAAGTGCTGGTGCTGACACCCATAGCACCACTGATTTTAGGTATCATGCCACTGTTGGCTGACAAGAACAGAGGCAGACTTGGATGAGGTGTCATTATTTTCTAATTGTGTGTGTGTGGGGTGTGGTGGGGTGTGTGTGTGTGATGGGGTGTGTGCACAGTCCAGAAGGTTTGGAATACCTGGAGCTAGAGTTACAAATAGTTGTAAGTTGCCTCATGTGGGTGCTAGATATTGAACTCAGGTTCTCTGTAACAGCACTACATGCTCTTAACCAGCAAGACATCTCTCCAGCCCTAACTTTTTGTTGTTGATATTTGAGATTTTTTGTTTTTGGATACAGGATTTCTCTGTGTTAACAGTGCTGACTGCTGTTTTCCATCTGCACAGCGGCTACATTGGAATCTACTGCTACTTTAGCCAGAAATAGTGGCTCCACAGTTACAGCCTGCAGGCAGAGGCCCAGCGGGACTTTTACATCTTGCTAGATCGCCTCCTGCCACTGCCCCAAATGTAGTTTTTTAACTAAATCGCTATTGTTCTATTTATCAATAAGACCCAGGAGTCAGAGGCTGGGGTGAAAACCTGCCAGCTCAGAGATGTTGGAGGAGCAACTATCTGACCTTTGCAGTATCTCTGAAAAGAGAGTGTCCTTCCGCTTGGCCAAACCAAAAAAGCCTGCCATACTCAAAGTCCCTCCCTACTACTTCCTGTGCATCTCTCTATCCATCCATCTTCCAGACTCCCTCAGACTCTCTTTGATCACTTTCTGTCAACTAGTTCCTGATTGATTTTATTTAATTAACACAATCACAAACAGTGTGAAGAAATATCCCACAACACTCCCCCCTTTTTGTCTAAATAAAAAGAAAAGGTTTTGCCAGGTGGTGGTGATGCATGCCTTTAATCCCAGCACTCGGGAGGCAGAGGCAGGAAGATCTCTGTGAGTTCGAGACCAGTCTGGTCTACAAAAGCTAGTTCCACGACATCTTCCAAAACTACACAGAGAAACCCTGTCTCAAAAAAAAAAAAAAAATCACATTCACAATGGCCAGTACATTTTTATTTGGCAAATTCAGAGAAAGTATTCTATTATCTATCCTATCTTGATGAGTCCAAAGTTTTATACTTAAACTACTTCCTATCATAACTTGTATTACTAACCTTAAAATATTTTTTTAGACCTTAAAATAATTTCTTAGATAAACAACTTAAGCTTTTATGTTTCTCAACCTTATAAATTTTACATCTTTTTTGTAAGTCTCCTGGCTGTTCTAGAACTCATGCTGTAGACCAGGCTGGCTTTGAACTCACAAATCCAGCTGCCTCTGCCTTCAAGTGCTGGGATTAAGGGTATGCACCACCATGACCTGTCCCTAATTATATTTTTTAAAGGGAAGCGAGAGGCTGGGAAAAGGGTTTGATGTGTAAATAGTTTGCTGTATAAAGGTGAAGACTTGAGTTCAAATTCCTAGCATTCACACCAAGCTGTGCACGATAGTGTGCATCTGTAATCTTAGTGCTCCTGGAAAGAGAAAGAACCCCTGGAAGTTCATGTGCCAGCTAGCCGGACATACAGAGCCACAGTCTTCTCAGGTCCACTGCATGCTATTGCACACCCACACCCACCACAGTAATAATAGAAATCAAAACAAAATAAAAGGAGAGTGAACCCAATAGGAAAAGTCTTTAACTGCTTAGAGCAGGGGTTTCACCCTGGGTTGCAACACTTTGACAAACCTCTATCTACCAAACTATTTCCATTATAATTCATAACAGTAGCAAAATTAGTTATGAAGTAGTGTGAGGAAATGTACTAAAGGGTTGCAGCATTAGGAGGGTTGTGAAACACTAGCTTAGAGTAAAATACCTAGAACATATTAAGTGCTCAATGAATATTAATTATTAACAGCTTTCACTCTCTCCTTTCTACATAAAAGTAGTGAAAAAGAGTAAAAACATAGCTGGGGCCAGAGGGATGGCTCAGCAGCTAAGATGTTTGCTGAGTAGCCTAGTTTTGTTCCCAGCACTTACACTGGGCACCTCACCACTACCTGTAACTCCAGAGGTAGAAGTCCTAATGCCCTCGTCTGACAACAAGGGCATTCATACTCATAATTACATACCCCCACACAAACACATATACACAATGAAAAATAAAATAAATCTTATTTTTAAAGCACACATCTTAGAGAACAGTCCCAGCTTCTGTTTCTACTTCTAAATAGCTTTCTGACTCTGGTGAATTGCTTAAATTCTAAAGCTAAGTAAGAATGATAAGTATCAGTAGGAAACTATCTGAAGAAATCAGAAAAAGAGTAAAGTGCTGGGCGATGATGGTGCACATCTTTAATCCCAGTACTCAGGAGGCAGAGGTAGGAGGTTCTCTGAGTTCAAGGACAGCCTGGCCTACAGAGTTAGTTCCAGGACACAGAGAAACCCTGTCTCAAAAAAAAAAAAAAAAAACATTGCTGGATGGCTTAAAAAAAAGTTTAAAGCTGGGTCCAGTTAAGTGGTAGAACATTTGACTGCAAAAAAATCTTAGGCAATCAATTATTCTGTAAATAAAGCTTTCTAATTTGTTTAACTTAACAAAGACCATTAGACCATTAACACTTGAATTTTTAATTCTGGCTACGTGAAAGAAATGTCACATCAGACTCAGTGTCTATATAGCTCTGAAATGCCCCATGGTGCCCATGATAAGTGGTGTCAGACAGACCTGGGTTTTGTTCACACTTTACATGTTACTATTTGTGAGATGTCTGAGCAAGCCACAGAGACTTTCCACCATCAGTTTTCATATATGAAAAATAGCTTCAAAATCTAGCTCCTCACATGGAGGCTCAAGTGGAGGTCAGGGCTCACTGGGTAAGGAACAAGCTCCCCTATAGTATCACATGAATACAGCAAAGATATGGAGGTCGAGTGACAACACAAAACAGAAACCTGGCTTCGCTACATCCCAGACTCTGCCTCCTTGTGGAGTCTCTCCTTCCACCAAATGATCAAACCCAGGAATAAAACTTGATTTTCTTCTCCTTGCCATTTCCAATACTTAATTTATTAGCAATGCTGTTAGCCCTACTTCTAAAATGAACCCCTAACTGCTCTCCACTGTTGTGGGCACTACTTAAGCAAGCTGTCATCACCTCTCACCCACATCCCTCTCCCCTGTGTTTACTAGAATTTACACCTGTGCTGTTCAGACAATTGTCACATGCCATTTGTTTTGTTGTCTTAAATGGAAAGCTCAGCTCCTCAGCAGCAGCCACATTTCCAGTTCTTAACAACCACATACAGTGGTTCTGAATCAACATCACGTTTCCATTGGCACAGAATGTTCTATGGGACAGATAAAGCTCATTCCTCCCTTCAAGGATATGCACTTGCTACTCTCATCTGGAGTGTTCCATCTAGACTTTGGGATTGCCAGTTACGTCTCATAGTTCTCAGCGGAATGACATTCTTCTGGGGAACCTTCTGAATTTAACTGGATTACCTAATCTGAAACAGCCCCTCCATTTCCCCACCTGGGGACACTTTGTCCACATTTCTCACGTTTTATTTTCTTTATAGCACTCAAGACTACCTGAAGTTACTTTGTTTTGTTTGTTTCTGTCTCTACCTATGGAATGAAAACTCCATGAGGATAGAGGCCACATTTGATAGAGGCCATAGCAGTATCTCCAGGGAACACTAGGTGCATAGGAAATGTAAAGCAAGTGGCTGAAAAAAGTAAAAACTGAGTTAAATACTTATATAAATCTATTGGTATTCATCCATTGCTGCCTTGCAGTCAAATTTTAATTCTCATTTTCTTAAGATGGTTTTCTTAACTCTGTTGTTGGGTTTTTGTTTGTGCATTTTTGAGGCAGGGTCTCACTGCGGGCCCTGGCTGCCTGGAACTCGCTGTAGACCAAGCTAGCACAGAGATGCACCTGCTTCTGCCTCCGGGTGCTGGGAGTGCCAGGGTCAAAGGCACACAGCATCACCCAGCCTGGCTTTCTTAGGTCTGAATTAAACAGTAGCACCCCTTTCACTTTACCACTGAGGCTTTCTGTAAATGGAAGATAGTTGGATTTTCTTATAAATAACCATACTTCCCAGTTGGGCATGCTGACAGGTTTGAAACCGCAGCACTAGGAGGTCAGGACAGGAGGCCATGGAGCTTGAGGCCAGTCTGAAATACTATTCTCGCAAAACAATACAAAGAAGAAAAAAAAACCCAAACAAACAAAAATCCCTTATACTTCCTTTACCTTTCCCTAAAGATCACAATAATATCTAATACAAACCTCCATCAAGGCTCCTGGATGCCCGTTTGCTTGCTGTCCGCTCAAAGTGCGGAGCAGGTCTGTCAATCAGAGCACTGGCTTGCCTGGTCTGTGCTTGAGTCCGGCCACTGTATCGAAATTTCGATCCCAGGGCAAGAAATTTACTTTTGGGAATGGTGTCTGTAGAAGTTAGTCTGGGAGAGAAAAAATCATAATTGTGTTATTTCATTATTTTATTGCATTATTTTATCATTGTGACTATAAATCTAAAAATCAACCAAGAATAAAAATGTTTCCAAACTCTTGTGGTTTATTTTAGCAGTTAAGAGATTTCTAGTCGGGGTGAGGGGAGGGAGAGGGAGAAGGGATTGACATGTGAAATAAGCTTGTTCCTAATTTGAACTAATAAAAAAAATTTTAAAAAAAAAGAGATTTCTAGTCAAGCAATCTTTTTTTCTTCTTTTTAAGATTTTATTTATTATGTATACAGTCTTCTGCCCACATGCCAGCAGAGGGCACCAGATCTCGTTCTAGGTGGTTGTGAGCCACCATGCCAGGAATTGAACTCAGTTACCTCTGGAAGAACAGTCAGTGCTCTTAACCACTGAGCCATATCTCCAACCCCTAGTGAAGCAATATTTATTGTAAGTCTACGCCATATCTCAAGCAACCAGAATTAGTTTAGTTGGGACCTATATTAAAATCATTGTTAAGTTTCTATGAATAAGATTTTATGGTTTTCATAATGGCTGATAGCACTGTAAGCTTTACACTCTATCCTTGAAATGTTTTCATCATTATACAGACAGAGGATATTGAAACATCATAAGACTAAGTTACTTACTTACGGCTACAAAGCTGGAGTGTAACAACCCAAGCCCAGGACTGAGTTTAGCTGCTGTGAAAGCAACCAGAGCCCCTAAAAAGCACCAGTTCTCACTCCTCACCTCTGCTATCCTGTTACAGTGCATGGAAAGGCACTCTGGGAATGCTGGGATATGCTTTCCAGCCAAAAGAGGGAGAACTACATTCACTTTCCTTGATAAGTTTTCTTGATTCACTCTTACCTGAGCTAAACAAAATGCCAGCCCTACAGAGAAGACAATTTCAACAGCAGGTTCAAAATAAATATGCACCAATAATAGGCCCTTGAGAACTCCTTGAGTGAGAACAATACCTGAAAAATGTGTGATGCTCCACACAGACTTTCCATAGTTTCTTAGCTGCTCGATAACTGGGAAGCTTGAAACCAATGGTACTTTCATATTGTTCTTGCTATAAAGATAAAGTTAACACAAACATATTATTCAATTAAAGTGACACAGAGCCAGAGAAATATGACATCACCAAAGAGATGTTTTTAAAATAAAGAATGTCTTGGGGTCCCAGAGATGGCTCAGTTGTTCCAGAGGACTGGGGTTCAATTTCCAGAACCCACATGATGGATTCTGTTACTCCATACCCCAGGGATCCAACACACTCTTCTGACCTCCATGGGTACTAGGCACACATGTGGTGCACAAACATACATGCAGGCAAAATGTCCACATACACAAAAATTTTTTTAAATGTTACAGTTAAATTTTTTTCTTACTAAAAGAAATCTTCTCACTGAGGGAGGCTTTTTCTAAAGCAAAAAAGCCAGGAAATATGTCTTTTATTACTTATGAATCTTTTTTGTTTTTTCAGAACACACACAATACAACATGGATTCTTAAGACACATACTTTAGTCGACTTTGACTGCTAGAACTACTTTTTTCTTTTTTTTTTTTTTAAAGATTTTATTTATTTATTATGTATACAACATTCTGCTTCCATATATATCTGCACACCAGAAGAGGGCACCAGATCTCATAATGGATGGTTGTGAGCCACCATGTGGTTGCTGGGAATTGAACTCAGGACCTCTGAAGAGCAGACAGTGCTCTTAACCTCTGAGCCATCTCTCCAGCCCCCAGAACTGCTTTTCTTTAGGCATGTACCTACATTTGTAACTTTAGATTACTCAATAATCAAGGAATGAGACATCCAGTCATTTCTCCAGCTAGTCAATATTATTATGCAATAGGAATTAGTAATGGGAGCTAAACATTTATCTCAAACCAGATTACTTTTTTCTTTTTCTTCTCTCTCTCTCTCTCTCTCTCTCTCTCTCTCTCT